TGAAGCATGGGCAAATGACCAACTAAGCAGTAATATGTACTGTAGTTTGGGCTGTAAGAGCAAAACTAGTGTTTAAACAAAAATGGGTGCTTGTATTCTAAGATAAAAGAATTACAACCTCCTTAAGTTGGGAGACAACCTCGATCATGGCATGTCTTGGCAATATAGCCATTGGAAACCCACAGAGCCCTGATCTCAGAGATCTGAGAAGTGTAACACCATCCTCGACTGAACCCATCGAGTTTGGTGTCTGAAACAGCAGCCCCGAGGAGTTTGTGGGAGTCCCATGAAAAATCATGAGTACCTGATTTGGCGTTACATCCCTTACAGAACGTATGATTTCAAGAAAATTGTGTTGAAACTACCCTACACATCGCTTAAATACCTAAATATTCTGAGCTGGGCATGATTTTCTTTCACCCTTTTCGGAGCCCAGCAACCCCGGCTGCTTCCCAAGCTTGACGATATGCCTGGCACTGATCCCATTCCCACTTATAACCGAGTTATGTTCACCAACCTTAGCTGACGTACTGGGGCACCACCCTGTATGTTGTTTTAATTGAATACCCTCTGGTAAACTAATATTGCTATGGAAAATCACTGGTTTTAATGGGAAAATCCAGTATAAATGGCCATTTTCAATGGCTATGTTAAATTACCAGAGGGTATGTGGTTTCATCCCCTGCTGTGAAAAATGTACCATTCATATCGGGAAAGTTTCAGGGCGTTTAAGGGGGGAAGAGATTAATGAGGTAATCTGATCTGGCAATGAAAACAGAACATGTTTTGATCGGAGTATTAGGGCTAGGGGACAAAAGCCAGAAAACACCGTATAAATTGGGACATATCATGCGCAGCACTGGAGAAAAAACTCCAAGCCACTAAGATGTACAGTATAGTCTCAGTATAGTATTCCCAAGCAACAGTTAATGAAATCAGGATTCAACACCAGTGAGAAATGGTCGAAAAATGGAAAGTGATTGATGCATCCCATTCTTGTCATCAAGTTGTTTTCATCATCTAATTGAGCCAAATTCAGTTTGGTCTGCTCCCCCAATCTCGTTGCGAAGCTGTTCCTCCGTCAAATTGGATAGAATATGAAAAATCGCCATGTGATACAACTTTTTACAGTGTCAATCATTCATTCTCAAGTTTTGCTGTATAATTTTCCATTTTGAATGGTTGACACCCCATGTTATTTGGCCAAATGCCTGCAAAAGCAACTATTCATTTGGCAAGTCTACCCTGTTTACAGCAATGGCTCTAGTTGCTTGGTTATACCCCATCTGTTTGACAGTGGCCCCTCCCAAATAACCTGGTAGTGAAAAAAAACTCATTTGAAGATCATTGACCTACCTTTTGATGACTAGCAGCCCCCAACTATTGATGGTGTCATCCCTAAACCCATCTTTCTGTCAATCCCCAGTCTGTGGCCATTCCCTGCTTGGATTAGTGTCATCTACCTGGGTTCAAAACCCTGTGTCCTTTCATTATACTGGTTGGTTTGGGATTGTCCTATTGGGTCACTATAATCCCCAAATATCCCCAATATCTTGGTTAGAATAGTCTATAATCATCAATCAACAGGGCCTCTGAACACGGCTCAAGACACACCATGCCAGCAGGGTAATCAAAAACACCGTGGGTCAGGGGATAATCCAATGGAAACTCAGGAATTGGATGAATTGCTTCGAAACATTTTCCATCACGTCCCACTACAATTTTCATGAGTCTATACTGCAGATATTCAGAACAAGTTTGAAAACCAGAGGTATTTATCCGATGATATAAATGAGTCTATCCTGGATTTTTTGGATAATATATTCAGTGCAAATTGTATCAAACTAGTGGTCCAACTACCGAACTCACCAGTCGCTCAACTGTTTATGTATCTCCATTGTTTGAAGCTGTTTAAACTACCCAACTCACAGTCTTTGTTCAATCTCCCCATTTATTGCATTTAGGTATATCTTGTATGAAACTACCCATCCAAGGCTTCCCTAGTGCATAGGCCGTGAATTATTCACCACATGGGTTTGTCTGAAAATAGGCTGTCCAAATTTTTGATGGTTTACAATTCAGAATAACTTCATGCATGTTCTCCATCTAAAAAAAAAACATCTTTGGGGCAGAATCCTTCATTTCAGATTGAAAAACAGGGGGCACCCCTACATCCACTGGTGTATCACCATGTTCCCCTTAAAGTGGCCTAAATGAACCCCATGGCAACAAAGCCATACAAACCCCTGGCAACGCTTCAAAACGGCGCCTTCTCCACCGCGAAGAGCTGTCGATCTTCGGGTTCCAAGTCTTGAACCTATGGTAATGGTTTAATGGATGATTAATGGATGATGAATGCATGATGAATGGATGATGGACGGATGATGAATGGATGACTAATGGATTATGAATGGATGATGAATGGATGATGAATGGATGATGGACGGATGATGAATGGATGACTAATGGAATGGATGATGAATGGATGATGAATGGATGATGGACGGATGATGAATGGATGACTAATGGATTATGAATGGATGATGAATGGATGATGAATGGATGATGAATGGATGATGGACGGATGATGAATGGATGATGATTGGATGATTAATGAATGATGAATAGATGATGAATGGATGATGAATGGATGATTAATGGATGATGAATGGATGATAAATAGTGGATGATTAATAGTGATATCACCAACTATCATGGATGCTTTACAGTAAAGACATCTGACAGAATCTGACAATAGTAAATGACAACTGACACGTGTAAATGACACTGATAAATGACAATGATAGAAGATGCTGTATAAATAATGATTATATAGAATGACACACCACATTTTTGAAGATGTGTTGACAGTAAAACTGATAAAGGTATGTGCGTAAAGTATGTTGTTGTCTCATTGATAATAATCATTAAAAAAAAAATGACAGCATTATTAGTGATACAATGTGATACATAACAAAAGCAATAGCAATACATTGTGGTGATGATGATGCTGCTGCTGCTGGTGGTGGTGGTGGATTCTGAAGGCAATCCCTCCATGAAAGACGGGCTTCGACGGCCCATTGGATTCGTCCCAAGCAGCGCAAAGCTCAGGTATGGGTGTATTCGCCGCAAAGGAATGGTGAGATTGCCACTCAAAGACACAGATTTAAACCACCGAAAATGGTGATTCAAACTTAAACTTAAACCCCCAAATGAACATGGGACTCAACAGGAAAGGCACCAAGCGGAATATTTTCACCAGTAACCAGCACTGGTCGGTTTTGGTCGAATTTGACTGGGATCACAGTGGCTTCATCCTGCCAGGGAGCTGGAAACTTCTTGAAGTAAGTCTTCCTCAGGTCAAGAAAGATGGGAAAATCCATGGAAACATGTAGCCGGCCTGGTTATGTCAAACGTAGCTATTGAAAATGGCCATTGAAATAGTGGATTTTTACCCATTGAAAATGGTGGATCTTTCCATAGTTATGTTAGTTTACCAGAGGGTAGGTCTTCCTTTTCCGAAAACCATGGAAAATAGCTGAGCAGAACCAAGGCTCCTCTGGCCCAAGAGAATGTAAACCACGCTCACCTGCGGCACGATGAGCAAGTCGGGCCCTTGTCATCATTGTCATGTTTAGATATTTTAGTCGTGAACTTCTCAGACCATCCATTCTCATTGCCAACCTTAGATACCCTTCAACAAATTTAAATTCTTAGCTGGTTAGTAGATATTCCTATTTATAGCAAAAGATTAGGGGATTAAACTACCCATCCAAGGTTAACCTGGTTTTGCGGGGTCCAATGATTTTGACGACCCCGACCCAGTTCTGGGCTCCTTGTGCTCCTCCGCAGTGGCTATGAATCGCTGGAATTCTGGACTGAATGTTCGCCATCCAGGTATTGACCCATCCCCATATGCCCCGTTTGATACCCTATCCTGGATTTGGGGGTAAAATCGGTGAATTATTGTTCTGTCTTCAAAATTAGTTTTGTTTAGTCAGATAAATCAGGACAAATCCCAATTGTTTTGCTGAAGAATCCATGTTTTTTTCACTCTCAAACCACCACTGTTGTTGATCTACACTTAAACCCCATGTTCGCTGATGTTCTACATCATAGCACCCGGCATCCCTACATCGTAGTGAAAAAAACATTACGGTAAATCCCATGTTTGCTTGGTTCAAATCCCGTGAACATGGCATTTTTCTTGCTGACTCTCTGTAAATTCACCCTGCGCCTGCTGGCTCATCAGCTGAGAAGCATTCGGTCTCGCAATGCAAGCCGCTGGCAGCTCTGGCCTCGTGATCTCGTGGGAGATCAGCGGGACATGGGAAATCCGGCAATCCATGACTCATTGGATGGGTTTTGGTGGGAAAATCTACAGGAAACCCGGATTTTTACCATGAAATATGGGGGGTTCCTGTCAATTGTCCCAACAAAACCAATCCAATGAATGATACTATTCGTGGGAACATGGTGTATATACTGGTATCATATTTTTAAAAAAAAATATCATATATACCATGTAGGGAATATTCCATTGATATCATGAATCTCATGATATACCATTGATATGCCATTCATGGGTTGATATGTGGATTGGGATATCAATGGATTCAATGGGTTGGTCTCGGGAAATCTTCACCAGACCTTTAGATGTTCCCCTAAATCAATCCGATAATGTAAATTATCTAGTCAAGTGTGGGATAAAATGGTTCAACAAAAATGTGTGTGGTGTGTATATGTATATATAATATGGACTATGAGGTTGTTTCGGAAACCATTGTGTTTTTCAGATTTCTTAGATGGTCTTCAATATGAAATGTGCGACTCTCGGGAAACCATCCTGCTTTTTGCTGCTTAAGATCCTTCGCCATTTATTTACATGATACCATGTGTTGAAGATGGTTTTCGGATGAAATCTGTAGTTATGTCAGAAAACATGGTCTTGTTTTTTTTGCCATTTTTTTTGCCGGATTTTGTATCCCGGACATGGTGATCTGGTGGTTTTTCCAGGTCAAGAGGCTGCTGCGACGTGGAGGCCACGGGGATCATGACCTGAAATCAGCACCGACAGAGACAGACTCTTGGCTAAGCCAACGGGCCGGCTCCGTTGCGAGAGGCTCCGCACAGTGAAGTTGTAGACACACCAGCTGCACATGACAAAGAAGAAGAGAAAGGCCAGCCTGCAGTGTCTGGTGTTTTGATGCTTCTATCCATGCTGATATCGTGGCGTTTTCTTCACAGTCAGTGCACCCTATGCTGATTTCATACATTTCATGGTGTGTCTTAATGGTGTTGCGGTGATTTTTGTTGGTACTTTATCTGGTTGGTGGTTTCAACCCCTCTGAAAAAATATTAGTCAGTTGGGATTACTATTCCCAATATATGGAAAAGTAAAAAATGTTCCAAACCACCAGCCAGTTATGGTGATGGTGTTGATGTTATTCTATTTTGGCTGATCCATGACCCTTTCCGAAATGGACCAGCGGTCTTCACTGAACATCGAAAGTCCTGTAGTGACCCATGCCACAAAACTTCATCGAAAATGCGATATGTCCGTTGTTTTGAGCAAACCCCCAAAAAGAATCAAAAAGATAGAAAAGGAAGATCCTATCAAAATCATAAAATCGTGGTATTTGACTTGTCCATCTTTTTTGGGGGTTGACATAGTTTCGATGTCGGCCCCTCCTGAAGGGCTTCATCATAGTTGCCTTTGGCCATGCTACCCTCACTGAAGGCGGGTCCCGTGGGTCAGTGGGGAATTTCTTTTGGACCCACAAAACTACCTGGTTAACAGTTGGGTTTATGGATTTTATGGGGAATCTAACTATACTTCATGGCTTCATGGGCTTTATAAATGTTTATAAATGTTTATAAACCAACAAACATCACTGGAAAAAAACCCACCGAATATCGTAATTTGTAGTATCAACAAAACCATTTTCGGAGGGATTGACAAGTTTGACCCACAGGTCGTAAATATGTCTTGCTTCTGGGCGAGGATCATGAGGATGCATGGTGGCTAAATATATTTGGGACATATCAAAAAAGGTTGCTGTGATTTTTTTCCATACCTCTATTGACTCTTTCTTGGTCTGTGCGCTGAAAAATGGCTCGAAAATGTGTCCGAGAGGTGTTCTCTCGGAGTCATCGAGGAATGGCTCGAGCCGCTCGTAGCGAAGCACATGGACATCACGATATTAGCTGCCCGAACTAGATGCTACTGAAAACAGGGCTTGGTAAATGTCCTGATTCAACACCACCCAACAAAATTGGGGAGATAATATGATATAATTCTCCAACGGATATGATTCTTTTGGTGATGTGATCCCGCAAAAGGGACATGTTCCGCTGGAATTCATCAGCATCTGTAGCTTGGCTAACCTTGACCTACATAGTTTTCTGCAACCGTCACTCGGGCTCAAATGAAGACATGCTGCGAAATGTTACCAGCAACAATGAAAAAAAATAGTGATGAGCCAAACAAAAACTGCTTCATGTTTAGGAACTCAGAGAGTCCCCCATTTGATAAATAATCTACCCTCTGGTAATTTAACATTTTGCTAGTGAAAATGGCCATAGATATAGTTCATTTGCCCATTCAAAGTGGTGATGTTCCACAGCAAACGGTTAAATAACCAGAGGGTAATACAAGGTGGTGCCCCCCCAGTTATAAGTTGGTTTATAATCCCCATTAACTATAGATATAACCCCCTAATCAACCCTGGTTATTGGACTTATAAACCAACTTAGCTAACTATGGGGCACCACCTTGTAGTGATTTTTCCCTAAGATCTTTGCCAGCAAATCTGGCGGCACGACCCGACTCCACCAGCTCGAGCCCGGGAAAGACCTGGGAGGCTCTCAGCGAGTTATCTCAGATTAAACCCTGATGTTTTTTTTAATATGTCAAGCCATCAATTGGTAAACCTACCACTTGGGATTGTTTATAGAATATAATATAATATAATAATAAATAAAAATAATAATGATAATAATAATAACTAGTAGAAACCAGGTCCGCCCAAACCAGAATCCTCGCCTCCAAAGGTTCCAAGCAGCTGCGGTTCAACAAGGTTTTGCATCCATCGCTGAGGTCGTTCGGCGATCTTCGCTTGACAAAAGGTAGCTGCAGCGGCAGCAAATGAATTGAGATTTGGATTGGAAAATGAAACTGGCAAATGGTAAAACTGTATGGGAAATGCTCTCACATCAGCACTCCCCCTTTGACGTGCCGTTCGGCACAGTCAACCTGAGCCAGCTCAAGCTACCTATTCACATCCAAACATGCAGTGCAAAGGCTGAATGTTTTTGACCCTTCAGCTCTTTCGCACATTGGATTAGAGTGCGCATCTGACTCCCAGCTTGAAATGAACATCGCAGCACCATGTGAAGGAAAAACGCCAGATTGAACCGCTTCTCTTCTGCATTCCAAACACCATCGCCTGTTTTTCTTCGCACCAGTCGCCGGGGCAGTTAAATACCGGCAATCCCAGTGGCAGTGGTAAACTGTTCCGCTTCTTGAGGTTATCACCAAAAACGGCAAATCCACTGTTTCATACTCGTTCAACTGGTTGTGGGCTGGTCCAAGCAAAGGATGGCCTGGAGGTGCATGAGTCAGTTCGGCTGTGATCCGCCGCTCTTCGCGTTCAATCTCATTCCATTCACGTAGGCAATCATTTCCTGGTGGAGCATTTTGAGGTCTTGGCGTTGAGGACGTTGGCACTGTTGTGCTTCCAGTTTGAGTTTCTGGTAGCGGAGCTTGATCTCCTGTTTCTTGAGCTCGTTCTTCACCACGTGGCAGCGGAGCAGGTTGATCTGGTAGCGGAGCAGTTGGCATCGTTGATGGTCTTTCGATCACCTCGGTGGAGCGGCTGGTGTTTGATGCCGCTGAAGCTGGCAAGTTCTCCCTTGAGGACATACTTGAACTGCTTCTCACAGCGCCTTCAGAGTGACTTCCATGTTGAGCAGAAACGTGCTGTCGCAGACATTCTACTCCCCGTACTCCAGCTTCCCAAATTCGCTGTGCCATCAAAGTTACGATGACCACCACAAATGTGTAAAGAATGATGATCTCAAAAGATATCGATTCTTCTGCTTCGTCTCCATCTCGCGCTGCCTTCGAAATTGACATAGTCGCCGCCATAGTGATCAGGCGAAGAACCTGAGCTGCTTCAGCCAAACGGTGGCTGTCTTTAGTGGTCAAGGGACCGTCCTGCTTTTCACTTTCTTTTCCTTCACTTTTCTCCTCCTTTTCTTTCTTTTCTCCTCCTTCCTTTTTTTCTTCATCATCTTTTGGGGGCAAAGTGCCCATACCCATGAGTTTCTTGAGAAATTCAAAGCGCACCGAAGCAAGCGGTTTGGTGCCGATGTCGGCCAGCATGAACTCTCCTGCCACATGCTGTGTAGACCACTCGCCTGCCAGAATTGACTGCCTGGCAAAGGAGCAGCGCAAGCGTAAATGGCGAGTTCGCCAATTCCCTCCATCTGTGGTGAGGATCGCTTGTGCTGACATGCTGTCGGTTTTCACCACTTTGGTGGTCATAGGAAAGATCTCGGCCAGGATGACGTAGATTGATTCACCTGCGATCATTCCCTCCACTATTTCTGTTAGCTCAGCTTCTGCTGTGCTGAGTGTCACGAATCCCTGCCTCCCAGATCGCCAGAAGATAGGCGTGGCCCCCAACATCACAATGAAGGACCCGTGAGACTCCTGGGAATCTGGAGCGAAGCTGGCGTCCGTGAACACCGTGAGGACTGGGTGCTCACTCTCAGCGACCTTGAAGATCAGGCCCTCATCTGTTGTAGCCTTCAAGTATCCCTTGAGCTGGGTGGATACCTTGAGGACTGCTTCAGGGGCTCTCGTCACTGACGACCCCATCCGGGCCACCGTGAACATAATGTCCGGTCTGGCACGGGTGGTGAGCCAGAGGACTTCTCCTACGGCTTTTTGTGCCGCTCGAATTTCTTCTGTGGTTGGAGCTTCTGTTGACGGCTCCATCTGTGACTGCTCCCGTGAAATCGGAATCTTTTTGATCTTCAAATCCTTCTCCTTCTGCACCATATCTGTGGTATAGCTCTGCTGCGTCACCATCCAAACATCACGTTGGGATTGATCGCACCAGTGCTTGGAAATCTCAACTCCAAGAAATCGCACTGGGGCTTCACTGACCATCTCAGGCTGTGAGGTGCTCCACGTTGATTGAAGCTTTTTCTGGATGATGTTGAGCAAGTTGGGTGATGATGCCACCATGATATCATCCACATACGTCATCAGCAGGGCATACACGGTGGTGTCTTCTGGGTCTTTGGAGTTCATCAAACGCCAAAGGTTCGGCTCGGACTGCAGGGCTTCAAAACAGAAGTCCATCATCTTGTTGTTGTACTCCCCTGGATTTCTAGGGCTGCTATGGTGTCATCTCTGGTCAGTCCCCAGAGCTTGGGTGAGCGCCGAAGCCCGTAGATGGCTTTTTCAGGCAGGTAGTACACATCTCTTTTGAGGTACTTCTTCTCGGTGAGGAGCACAGGCGGCTTGACAAGGATCACATCCTCATCTTCAGACAAGACCATCTTTGCATTCAAGAAGGCAGTGCGCACGTCCAGGATTGATGCGCTCCACTGTTTGAGAGCTGCGCACCAGACCAAGATTCTAAGCGCTGCTGCATCGGCACCTGAGCTGAAGTTATCTTCATCTTCTTTTCTAGGCTCCAAGTTGCCGCATGCCACCCACCTCATCTTTTTCTTTCCTCCATCAAGGCCTGGCTTTCTAGTGAAAACCAGCTTGGACGGGATATACTCAATCCCTTTTCCTGACTTCTCAGCTTGGTGTTGTAGTAGAGCAAGTTCTTCTGGGCCAATCTCTCGGAAAGCCTGCTTTTCATAGAGGAGAGATTCGACTTCGCTTTGAACTGCAGGAAGCCATTCTTGCCAGTGTTCTGCGACCTCCTTTGGTGACACGATTCGTGTCTGTAAGATCTCTTCCTCCTCATTCGGCATTGATGCCATCTTCCGGATTTTGGCCAAGATTTGGAGCTCTTCCAAAGCCAGTTCTGGGTCATCATCGACCATGAGGCACATTTCTTTTTCGATTAAGCGGAGCATGCAAACTCTCCGCTTCTTTTCTTCATCTTCTTCTCCTCCATCCTCCTCTTGAAATTTTCTGATCGCTGACTTTCCCCTCATTCTTCTTCGAACATTCAAGGCGTCCACTGCTTCACGTTCCAGAGCAACCCATCCTTCTTCTGCTAGAGGGAGATGTGCTGCTTTCATGAGAAGTTTCGTGACGCGTGGCCTCTCATCTTTTGGGAGTATCCAGTGACCATGTTCTTCTGGAGCAGGACAAAGGTACCTGACGTTTTCAGTGGAAACTTCAAAAGTTCCTCTTCTCCATTTGCGCTTTCTGACCATGACTTCCGTGAGAAAGGGAGGCCAATCCGGGCTCTTTGCTACCCTGGCAGCACGATTGAGCTCATTGACGTATCTTGTTGCCCACGGCCACCAAGTTGGTTCAGCTTGTGCTTGAAGAAGAACCCTTCTTATTTGAGTCTTCAGTGACTTCACTGCTGTCTCTGCACGGCCATTGGCCCTCGGGTCATCACCAGGGGTCCTTGTCAAGAGCACTCCTCTTTCTCTGCACCATCTTTTGAAATGCCCTTGGAACTCATGACCTTGGTCGCTATGGATGTGGCCGATGTGATACCCGTCAGCTCTGAGACGTAGCATCATGTCCATCACCACACGAGTGACTTCTGTGGCCTTCTTGGAGTACATAGGAGCTGCAAGACGAAAAACTCGCGTCTCAAACTCCTCTTTCTTTTCAGCCTCACCTTCTTTCTCTTCAAGTCTTTGGTCTCCTTCTTCTCTTTGAACTTCATCCTCACCCTCTGGGGCCCTTTGACACTCCTCATCTTCTGGAACTTCATCGTCAAAGATTCCCTGAGGCTCTTCAGGTGGTTGTTCAGGTTGATCTTCAATCGGGATCATCTCCTCATCTTTCTTCGCTTCAAAGCTTGGGGCTTCACCTTCTAGCTCCGGCACTTCTTCCTCCTTGATCTTGGAGTCTTTGGGCACGGTCCAGGTGAGAGCACCAACCAAGATGTAGGCAGACTGATAGCCACCGGCATCGTAGGCTCTGATGAAGGGTCCTGTTGTATCAATTGACAAGACTCCTCCAAGTGGATGCTTCACTTTTCTGTGAGGCGGTTGTTGCTGTAGCGATTGTTGGCACACCAGGCAATCTCGCCTGAAAGGGATATGTCCATGACGTAGATGCTCTTCCCATGACAAAGTCGAGATCCTTGGTTGCCTGTTGACAATCTGGGTCAAAAGTGCTTCGGCCACCATGTTCATCACACCTGGTGCCCATCTTGACAAATCTGATGAGGATCTGATCGTAGTTGAAGATGTTTTCTTCATCCGGTGATCTTCAGGGTTGAGCTGCAAGTTTCCTGCCATGGTAGTTGGTTTTGTGGCTGCACCGCCATGATGTCCCTGACAGAAGGTGGTCTCAGCGAATCCAAACTCCTCCTTCAGCTTCATCCATTCGACAGTGTCCCAAAAAGACACACATTGTGGCATGTAGTTCCTTGGTGATGCAGGCTGTTCCAGTAAAAAACCAACAGGCTTCTGAACTTGTCGAGCTCGACGCAAGTAAGTTGCAATCATCCACAAAAAGATGAATCTCCACATGAGGATGTCGTCCTCCTCAACTTGTGTTTTTCGGCTGGAGACAAATCGGCCAGCCCATGTTCTTCACCTTTCCAAGCCCTCACTGGTCGCGGAGCATCCTTCTTTGGGTAATGCCTGAGAACTGATCTGGTTCTGCAGTTGGGGCCAGCGACAAAAGCGTCAATTCGGTCTTGAAGGACTGCTCGAAGAAGTCCAGCATAGACGCCGCTGTCCAGCAACATGTTGTGACCATCGCCTCGTTTCAAGTCAATCTCCAAGAGGTGATTCTCTTGGCCACCTTGCTGCTTCCATGCCCTTGACAGTGTAAACCCTTCAGATTCTCCTGCATAGAGGTGCACAAGAAAGCCGTCTCTCTGCAAACGCTTTCGTTGGCGCCGATTGACCGGCAAGTCTTTCCATTCTCCAATGTCAGTGACCAGTCGGCTTTTGATTCGGTCTGGAAGGTCTCGTAGAACTGGATGACTCTGCACTAAGTCTTCCATCCATTTTTTCTCCTTCTCAAAACCTACACTTTTCATCTTCTTTTGCATTCCTGCTGTTTCCATCTCTTCTATCAAGTCCAAGGCCAAAGTTCTGGGAATCTGTGGGCAGCCATCTCGGTTTTGCACTGGAAGTGGTCCACGTGTTGGATGGGTGACCTTCAAGATTCCATCAGCCCAGGTTACCTGACATTGCAAGTCTTGGACAAGTTGTCCCATCGGCAGAATTGGCTCGACGTCATGTCGATCTGTGACCATGATGCCACCTGGAGTCACCTGCAGAGAAGTGGTTTCGCCATTGGCAAGGGTCACTGAAACCCGCTTGTAGGTGGTGTCGCATTCACCAGGTCTTCGAGGACGCAAAGGGTGTGTGGCACCAGAGTCGATCAAACCTTGATGCTGACCATGTGAGATCTGATTGATCTTAAACACCTTGAGCTTCAGCTGGTTCAATTGTTGTTGAAGTCGATCCATCACCTCGTCCTTGGTCTCAGTGGCTCCTGCAGTAGAGCTTGAAGAGGAAGTCGTTGTAGAGGAAGTCAATGACTTGAGCATAGTGTTCGCCTGTTCCAGCAACTCCTTCATTGATGCCGATTCATTGGATACCTCCTCCTCTTTTCCTTTCGTAGAGCTCGTGGGTGAAGAAGTCTCCTCCCCCTCAGCCTTCTGAATCCTTGGCTTCTGTGGTGATTGATCGCTTTTTTCCTTTGGACGTGGACACGCTGGTGACATGTGGTCCGGACATCCGCAATTCCAGCATCTTCTTCTATCGTCTCTTTGGTCGTGAGACCAACTGCATGTTTTCCCTCTTCTGCATCCTTGGTCGGTCAAAAAGAACTTGCATCTTCCCTTCTCCTCCTTCGGCTCCTCGCGCTTCGTTGGTGACCTGCTTTCTTCTTCAAGTTTCTTCAGCTTTGACACCTTCACCTTCTCGGGCTCGGTTCTTTTCTTCGAAGCATTTGAGGTCTCCTGATGCACCACCTGTTCAAACTCAGCAGCCAAGTGAAGTGCAAAGGAAGTCACCGAAGTCGAAGTTGGGGTTGAGTCCACCTGCAATGTCGACCTTGCCAAACTGATCCTGAAGCTAAGATCTCGATTGGCCTCCAAGGGTTTGCGGATGATTCTGTTGAGTCCCTTCAAAAGCAAAAACGGGTCTGGCTCTGAAATTTGTAGGTCAGCAGCACGTCTTCGCCATCGAGACCATCTGCGAAGGCTTTGCACGGCCTCCACCAAGGTCGTTGGTTCAGGAGGAGCTTCAAGGGACCTCAAGATCAACTCCTTCTCCGCAAGACCACCTGGTTGATAGGTGACAAGAAGTTGGCATACTATGGACATCGCACTCAGTCTTTTGGCTGAGATGAGCTCTTCTCTTTGGCCTTCAGGAACTGCCATCAGCAACAACGTAGATGCTCGACGTTCAAGTCGTGCCCATTTCTGTTTGGCCAAATCCTTTGAAGGAACTGGTACATGAGCTACTCGATCCAAGGGTGGTAGTTGAAGATGACGCTGATACCACAGGTGTGCCTCCATGACAAGTTGTTGCCACCATTGCGCACTGGAGTTGCTCAGGTCACACATCATCGGCTCGATCAAAGCCATCCAATCATTGAGGTCAATTGGGCCCGTTGTCGCACTCCATTCTGCAAGGCTCGGAAGTGCTGGGGCTTGCCGGACTGATTCAGTCCCTGTTTCTTCATCCTTTTGCTCCAGCATCTGACGTTGGATCGCCTGCATGCCTTCCATGAGCTTCAGCATCACTTTCACTGTGGTGGGTTCCTCATCCATGCCTTGCTTTGGGGGTCTTTCAGCCTCCTGTGAATCGGCGGTCTTCGATCCTTGGCGGCTAAAGGACTTTGGGGGTCTATCAGCATCCTGGGGGGTCTCAGCCTCCTTAGTGCTTTGGTGGATACGCTGGCTTCCCTTTGGTGGTCTGTCAGCCTCCTGGGGGGTCTCAGCCTCCTTAAGTTGATGGGGATGCACTTGACTTCCCTTTGGTGGTCTATCAGCCTCCTGGGGGGTCTCAGCCTCTTTCAAGTGATCTCCATTTGGGGTGGAAAACTTCTGATCTTCTTCGGATTGGGAGGACTGCGCCTTCTCAAGACGTTCAACCTTTTCCCTTAATCTTCTATTCTCTTCCATCATCTCTTCAAACCCTTTTTTCAGTTCCAAATTCTCTTGAACTCCAACCGCTGGCATATATGGATAAACAAACTGCGAACCCATTCCAACAGCTTCTTGCATCCTACGTTCATCTTGCTCAAGAAAAAGTGGTCTTGAAACTGGAGGTGCTATGGCTGGAGGGTGGTATCCCATGTGACCACCTGGATACAGCCAAGGGGCTTGATTGAAAAGTTCTTGAAATCTTCGAAGTTGTTGATCGTCAAAAAGGGGCTGTTGCACCGGAGAAACACCAGATTGAGCTCCCGGCGTCTGCACTGACATGGGAACTTGTTGCAGGTGCCCAGAAACGTCTGATGCTCTTTGAAGATCAGTCGACCCTCCATTCTCAACCTTTTTGGAGTCTGCCGCAATCACATCAGTCACGGCAGGTGCTAGCGCTCCATGTTGGACAGCTATGGCTCCTTGGGGTTCAGCTTTGGCCTCAAGAGACTGCGCTGGTGTTTTTACCTCAGTTCTCACCTGACTTTCAGGAGTCACAGGCGGTACCTGAGATTTTTCCTGATCAGGAACAGCCGGCACAAGGGGCTTCGGGGAACTTCTAGGTCCATCCACTCTTCCCAAACTCTCTTCCTTCACGGGTGATTTGGGGGTTTCTGGAACCATGGTTTCAGGGCCCTTTGTATCTTCTAGCTGCATTTCTGATCCAGTTGCTAGTTCAGCCTCCACACGCTGCTGGGCTCGAAGCATCTCATCAGCTCCTTGATCCAGTTCAGCCTGCGTAGCCCTTCTTCTGGAAAACATTTCGGTCAGAGCTGCGTTGGGCTCATAACCTAGTAGAAACCAGGTCCGCCCAAACCAGAATCCTCGCCTCCAAAGGTTCCAAGCAGCTGCGGTTCAACAAGGTTTTGCATCCATCGCTGAGGTCGTTCGGCGATCTTCGCTTGACAAAAGGTAGCTGCAGCGGCAGCAAATGAATTGAGATTTGGATTGGAAAATGAAACTGGCAAATGGTAAAACTGTATGGGAAATGCTCTCACATCAGCATATAATAATAAATAAAAATAATAATGATAATAATAATAACAATACTAATATATAATAAGTGTATATGTATCACCTATTTCTGGTGAAACTGGGGATGGTTTAGTGTTCAAACTAGCATAAGTAAGACGATCAAACCTACTTATCAATTCTTTCTCACACTGGATGTACCAGTACCCTCTGGCTATGTGACATCAAAGTGAAACTAAAAACTTCCCTGTTTTCTTTGTTGCAGCTCGGTCAGTGAGTGTAACTTCCGCACTTCGAAGTTACCAGTTCTCCTTCTTAAGTGACCATTTTTCATGGCTTAAGTGACCTCAAATAGATGCAAAAGGGCTTTATTTGGTAGCACCGATTTGGGTTGAATTGGGGCTATATTACGTCATGGTGGATCCCTCATTGTCTATAGGTCGATTATATATAATTAATTAATTGATGGATTAAATATCATTGACATCATATATATACGTATATATGTCAATGAAATCTAATGTATTACATAATTACATATACTACATATGTGCATATATAGCAACCAAAAAAAAGAGAGAAACGTCAAATCATGCAAAATCCTAACAGTAAAAGAGCGGTGAATGACGTTTATATCTGTTTGGAGGTCACCCATAATGTGGTTGGGAAACTCTTAGTAGCTCCTTAACTCCCCATTTAATGGGGAATATGGACACCCCTAGCTCCATAGCTCCCTCCTCAGCACAAGATAGATTACTATATAGAATACCCGTTGGTAAACGAACATAGCTATGGAAAATCACCATCTGAATAGGATTTTATAGCTAAAACCAGCTATAAAATGCTATAAAATGCTATAAATATCTCTATATAGATGGTCTATGTTCATCTGGGGATGGGTCAAAACCCTGGTACCTAGTGAACCCCAAAATAGCTGGTAAATGGATGTTCATCCCACTATAGTAATATATCTATAGGTATTGACCCATACCCATCTATGTTCCATAGCAAACTCTTCGGTTTCTGCCGTGACTGGGCGTCGACACCCCAGAGATGCTGATTCTCCCGTAGCTCAGCGGCTCTTGTCCCGTTAGCTCCAACAGCTCCTAAACATGGGCAAAAACCAACATGAACTGGGCTTTAACCAAAAAAAAAACATGGGGAGCTTCAACCAACTCAACTAAATTATAGGACTTACCATGACTTACCTCATTTGATGTGGACATAGTGGAAGATATCACCAACAATATGATGTGGCGTTGTCCAAAAATAGTGGAATTAGACCCGTCTTCGGACTTTTAATGGAAAAAAAATATGATCAACCATCAACAGAGGTGTCGACGTAAGAAAAACGGGAACCCAAAGGCTTCATGAAAAGTAAACATGGAAAAGCGTCACCAAAAAGTCGTCGAAATTCGACATGCAAAACCATGGTTGGTCAGGAAAAGCTGCCCGTTCATCCCCCACCATCCCCCACCAACCAATGCTCCAATGGGGAAGATTACTTGTCCCCACAGGATAATTCGGGGGCATCCCCCATTCTTACAAGCCTGGATGAATGTTTAGCCAAAAGAATTGCCCCAAGATCAGGGTTTTAAAGCCACCAAAATCACTCAAAATGTTGCTTCAACGGACCGTGAACTGGCTGATATTTCATTCCAGTCCGATAGAACCAGTTTGGAACCCTGCAATGAAGTAAGCCGTTTTGGGACAACCAAATGGGTTGGCCATTTTAGGATGATTTCCCCACTTCAAACATGGTCAAACCACCACGAGGCTTGGCAGCTGGCGATGGTGGCATAACTGGCACCCGGAACCCCAACTCCGCCAAAACGCCTTCATCCGGCTCCGCTGCATGCTGTGCAAGTCCAAACTCCGCAGCAAGGCGTCCCAAAGGATCTGATGTCCGAAAGGAGCCGCAGGGGCCACAAGACTCCACATGATCTACCCTCTGGTTATTTAACATAGCCATGGAAAATGGTCCATATATAGATGGTTTACCTATTAAAAATGGTGATTTTCCATGGCTATGTTAAATAACCAGATGGTATATATTATCTATATGAGGGTCAATTGATATCCGTAATCCGAACAACTCCAGCTAGTGGTAAAAGGACGGAAAAAATTGAAAAAATATGTGGGCGTGTCCGAGAATTAGGTATAACTCCCAACATAGCCATTTACTGGCAAAAATGATGATTAGCCAAATGGATTTCGTGGCACCCACCAAATTCGGTCACTCTTTACCCACCCCAGGCGGGGCCAGACAGGGGTCCAGGCAAAGACATGGCTGAGCCGGCTAAAGAGCCCCAGCTGATACTGGTTGATTCCTGAGCATCGATCAATGGATCAACGGATCAACTGGGAAAAGAAGCGTTGATCCTGGTTTCAAAAATATGCAAATTAATGATAGTACAACCTTTTGAAACGCCGACATCAGGACTCTGAAAGGCGGTTACAATTTGGTTTCCCTCCCGCGGAGTGTCAACAAGTTCAAGTCGAGATTATCAGCTTAATATCAGCTTATATAGCAATATCATGTAACATCCCTGGTTTTTGGATTGTCCCACTTGAGGAGCGAAAAAAGAAAAAACATCAGCACTGCTTGTGGATTGGTTTATCTACTCTAAGCTTTCAAATGGGGCTCAAAAGTGTGGGCCCCCTTAGGTTTCGGGCTTAGTCTCATCCCCCCATTCATATTAAACACCTGCGACATGGTCCCATATATATGTATATATAAACCCCCTACGTCCACCATGATTTCCTGGGGAGGTGTTTAAAAACGGCGGAAGGGATTACATCACCAATCTTTCATCGACAAAGCCATTGAGCTTCCCGCGGATGCAGTTCGGACAGCTGGACAGTGCCAGAGCGAAACCTCAAACAAGATGCATTTTTGATATGATATATATTAATATATATATATATATACAGATACAGATATAAGTTCATACCTTCCCATACATTTTGAAATGATATGACTATAATAGATATGTTCATATCTTCCCAGTCATCATATCATGGAAATCATCGAAGTAAACTGTAGTAGCTATATCTACTGAGTATTTTATGTCTGCTTTGGCAGGAAAATTGAAGGGAAACTATATATGTATATATAATAATATATAATATAATATAATATATAATTAATTATATATTATAGATCGTTTCCCAGAGATCAGTTCGGCACTTTTCCCCCCAAGCCAAAAAACGGTGGCTTGGTGTTTGATTTTGCTTCGCTTACTCATCTCATATCATCCGGTCATTCACTTCCCCAGTTGCCGAGGGAAGCCACCGAATCCTGGGTGCCATGCTAAGGCATTGATCTGGATTGTCCAGGTCTGAGCACAGAGAAAGGAGCTCCACTGGGCCACAGAATTCCCACAGGCTACCTTTCGAACGCAACCCTACAGCCAGAGCCTTTACCAATGGTCATCTGTCGTGAACGCACATTTTCCGAAGTTCGAGCGGGGTTTGTTTGGGGAAGCACCGAAATTTTGAACCCCCGTCGCTTTTGCTTGGGACACCCAAACGATCAGTGCGCACCTCGCTTCTTTGATCCTTTTGCTTCGATCTGCAAGTCACAAGGTCCAAGGATCAGTCCTGACTGGTGATTGAGCCATCAGAAACTGGCACCAACAAGATGAACATATATGAAAATCAGGATCATCCCATTTCTTTCTTTTTCTCCAGTAGAGGCTGTTTGATCTGCATCATTATCATCACTGAGGATAGTAATAGTATGTAATAGTCATAGTGATGGAAAGAAAGCACACTTGAAACCACCAGCTAAGTGACCAAACATTACCAACTTTTGTTGTCTCTGGCCACTGCCCCTCCATAAGAACAGCGGCACTCCTCGATCACTCAGCTCAGTCTGCTCAGCGCGAGCACATAGGACTCGAAGGTCCTTGTGAATGGATTGCTGTCGCAGAAAATCTAGAGTAAACCATAGTGTTTATCATGCTTGATCCATGAAACATAGGGTTTCCTGTGCAATGTTCCCTTTAATTCAGGGATCTTAGTCAGGAAACTTAAAGTGGAGATTTTTTTGTATAGGTTGTGAGTGGCGGTTGTGATTGGGTGGCTTGGCGGGGACAAAGTCTGATGGCTTTTACCAAATCCAGCCCCAGGCAACAAAAGCCTCGTTGGAGGTTTAAGCCCCAAAAACAAAGATGAGTCACTAGGAGTCATCATCCCAAATTTTGATGGGTGTGTCTGAAAATGGGGAATTTACAACCCATGTACGGCCATAATTGGGATTTTTTTTTCATAATCCACCGGATGCTCTTTAGGGTTTCCCTTTCGTTTGGCCCCCGGCCATCATTTCAAGCACCAGATGTGCACTGCATGCTGCACATCTGCTGCACTACGTCCTCGAGGCTAAGGTCAATGTGCCAATCTTCGGCACTCTTCGAAAGCATGTGCAGGGGCAACTCCAGGCTTGCACCAACCACAACGCCAAGGTTCCAAGGCTTTGCCTCAACAAAAACAGCTGCCACTGTGATTTATTCCCTGATGCTATTGATTTGGCTGGCAAATAGCCCCATCTGTAGCAAAGACTGACTATGTAAAATATCTGTGTGTATATATGTATATACAATAGTCTTCAAATTACCCGAACAAGGTTTACCTATTGAGGAGTCACATGTTTTTGGATCCTTTTTGTGGGCTGATCCGGCCTCCGCGTCGTTCATTTGGAAAATGATCTCGATGTTTTGAATTCTCAAGTTGAGACCTGATTCGGCGGCGAACCCTGGAGTCTGTTGGAGGAGCTCTCCCCAGGCATGCATCAGGCATGCGCCAGGCATGCGCCTATTTGAAGGGTAAGAATCAAAAGAATCTTTGAAACCACCAACCAGCAACTGTTGGCAAGTGGTTCAAAGCATGACAAGAGAATATTCAAAATATACGTCTTGTCAGCTTTAGCTGCGTTCACAAGCTTCAAGAAATTGAATGGAGGATGCATGAAAGAATCACAACATATTGTTTTGATCTGGTTTGGGGCATCATTTTTTTGCATGGCCCATTGATCCCTTTATATACCTCCCATTATATACTCTATATTCCATTTATACATCCATTGTGGTTGATTTTATACCCCACCGTTGTCCCTTGTTTTGGGTGGTTATAGAAGGATAAATGACCATTGTTTGGTTGGGCCAAGCCATCCCATTCTGGTTGAGTCTAGCCCATTTGTCATGGCTTAAATCCCAAAAAAGTCTCTGGACATATTTAAGAAACCACTAGTTATTCATGTTGGCTCTACCCTCATTTCATAGTGTAAATCCGAGTTTTACAGCTCCAAACCCTCTTTGTGTGTGTGTGGGTAAAAACAAGCAGCAACATAAACCATCCATTTGGTGGCTTGGCACCAAAATGACCCGAGAACCCGGATCCCTATCCGGATGTAGCACAAACGACGACTTGGTGCCTTAACCCTTCCATGTGCGTTGGCGAAAATAGTTAAAATATTCGGTTATACAAAACTTTATAAAATCCCCTTGATATGTTCTTGATTGATTTTCCGTGTTTTTCTTGGTAAAAACTGGCCACCATTTTGATCTCCAAATTGTGCTGATTGAAAATCAAGTTTTTTTTCTTAGTCAAAACTCCCAAGCATTTTGATCCTCAAATTGTGGTTCAAGAAAAATGCAGCTCAGCCACTGTTCAAACACCTCATCAGTAAAGGTTGATTGGACACATCTCGAGGCAGCTCCACTGCCTTCCTTGGACGAATCTCACTACAGGAAGTGGCCCCCAAAAAAGATAGGCAAGTTGGTTTAAATTCATAGCATATCCAAAAAATCTATAGATAATCCCAACTATAGATAATTCCGGTTCTTTGTGAGGTTGATTTCATGGACATATCTATAGTTGGATGGGGTGTTAAAGCAATTTGGAGTGCCTCCCTGAGAGGTCCAGAGCAAGAATTTGTGCGAAGGACCTTCGTTGAAGAACTCTTTTGGGGGGTTCCGGATGACCTTGCAACTGCAAATCACTCTGAATGGTACCCTCTGGTAAACAAACATAGCTATTGAGAATTGCCATTTATAGTTGATTTACCCATTAAAAATGGTGATTTTCCAGTTATGTTAGTTTACCAGAGGGTATATTCTTGTGAGACGACACATGACCAACATCTATGGCTTTGGGTTTAGCCACCCATCGAGGTGCCAATTCTTTTCGGCCGAAAGTCTTCCACTAAAGCTTGGGAAAACACAAAGAGACTTTTTCCAGCCCACCTTCCGACATTGGTTGGGATGATGCTGGAAGGCCTTCCACCCAATTTTGCCAAGTTTGCCGGCGAGCGTCACTGCTGGAATCTCCCGCGTAGCTTTGTCCTCAGCGACACAGGCTACTGGTGGATCAAAATCGCCGAAGGTATTGACCCATCCCGAGATCTGACTTTTGAAGTTTCTACTATATATATATACATATATATATACATACATATATATATAATCATATATATGCAATTGATATGACTGCAGAAGGGTGACATGGATCTGCCCATCTGAAAAACTTGGTAAGCGGCAGATTTGGTCTCTGGTCAAGCTGCCCAATCTCTGAGACGACATCGTAACACGAAGCGTCGCGCGAAGATTTTGAGTTGCAGTCCACTTAATCTCAGCTCCACCTCCAACTAGGCAATTGACGGTTTCTCAACTTATCTATAAATATATGGCAGTGTGTCAAAACCTTGTACCCCTGGTGAACATCAAAATAGCTAGTAAATGGATGTTCATCCCATTAAAAATGGTATTAATAGGTATTGACCCATCCCCATATATATATATATATATCATTGTATCATTATATATCACATTATATAACAATATCATATATCATCCAGATGTGTACATTTATATATATATATATAATGATGAGACAACTGGGAACATCACTGGAAGATCGCTTGAAGGAAATGACAAAAATAGAAGATGAAAATTATTCAACGTGATACCAAAACAAAAACGATTACTAACACTCAGAATAGTAAAGCATCATGAAGCAACACAAATGCGTGCTATCATCCAGTAAACTAATCATATGGAAATCCACCATTTCCACTGGGGTTTCACCCATGGAGTTTCACCACTGGGTCCACCTCTTCAAGACATGCTCGATCGATCTCGAAGGGCAGAAAGATCCCAAAGTTCTCAAGCACCCGTTCCTGTGCGGATCAAATCTCCCATGGGGCTCCGAAAATGCCATGGGAATAGGCATGGGAAAATTGCCACAAGATCTTCACTTCTGATTCTTGGAAAAGTAATAATAATTCACATTTAATCATTCACTGACCTGAAATGTACGGTGATTTCGGGATGATTCCCTCTAAAACATATTGTTTATATAACCATCATTCCATTGAGGTCGTTGCAGATCAACCCTGAGATCTTTGGGGTACTGCTGGTAGCATCAAACATCAACGATTGACCCAACCCCTGCAACTAAACATAGAAATAGACCCAACTTATCGGTGGAATCGAATCATGGATCATCTACAACCATTGGTGACCATCAGAAGCTGCTGCAACCATGAGCTTTTGATCAAATGATGGATACCCTCCGGTATGCAAACGTGGCTGGCTGCGAAATGCTCTATAAACGGAGGTTTAATGGAAACATCATCTATAAATATTGGATGTCCCATTGCGACATTTGATTACCGGAGGGTAGTGGCTAAAAGCGTCTAATTATCAACCTACTGATCCATACATGCCAGAATTCACGTCATACTAGATGGACCTTATCGGTGCTTCTTAACCAAACTAATTAGCCAACACACAAAGAGACTTCAACCCTTCGACTGAAATGACACACGAACCAACTATATTAAGCCCCCGCAGTTCAAAATAGGTTTTCTTAGCCAGTCTCAAACCAATTCAACCATATCACAAAAATTCATGAATTCGAGTTCGCCAATGTTAGCCATATGTTCCCCTAGCCCCAGCATGTTTCCTGACCTGAATCTCCAAGCGCTGTAGCGTCACTGAGGCACCCAGGACTGACAGACCCAGCAACTTGTCATAGGGCAGGTCCTGGCCGCCCCATGGCAATGCCCGAAACACCTGTTGGTTAATAGTTATATAATGTGGGAACCCCAATAATAAACCGAACTTGGTGATGGATGATTTTTGGAGGGTTTACCACATTACACATTACCAAACATCGTTGCTTGGAAAAAATGAAGCAAGGGTGGCCAAAAAAGAACGGCGGAAAACCGGAACTGAGGTCTGGTTCTTTAGTTGATGGATGGGGAGTTCAGTGATCCAAAGGAAAATTCATGATTCCTCATGAATGAAAATGAGTGGTAGTTTTTCTATCCAAGAAACTCATATCATTCGAACGGGTGTTCGCCACTGCTCTTTTGGTAAGGGAGTTCTGGTCTCTGAGACTCTCACTTGGTCCATTGACACCGGGGCAAGATCGGCCCCATCCCCCATCGGACGGCACCTTGACCAAAAGTGGCGCATGCGTCTCCAGCAGATTCACAAAGTGCTGCTTAAGAGCCGCATTTCCCATCCGCTTGTGGCAACAAAATGTCAGGCGCAAGCAGTAGCTGGCAACAGCTGGCAACCTGAATCTGGGGAGTGGGTGGCTGCCAAAGTATGGCTTGGCTTAGTTGGCTTGGCAGGTCATCCCAGCCAGAGTGAAGCGCTCTGCGTGGAGCTGCTTTTGGGTGCTACAGATCCACATAGATCAAGGCATGGTGACATGGTGTGTTTAGCTTTAGCTGTCCCAGATTTTGGCCCGCCAGTTTTGATGATTTCATGAGCACCTAAGGTATAGCTGAATCAACTAGTTTTTTCTGATCGGGCCCCAAAGATACTTTGAAGCTGCGGGGCCGAGCGCTTGGGATCTGCGTGCAAACGCATGGCTTAAAACATAGCACCAGAAAAGGGTGCTCGGAGCAATCCAGGGAACGGTGATCCCAAAAACCATCCTGGATCTACGTACTTCTCCACTGCTTAAGCCGCACACTCCACGTTCCGCGCGATGGATTTTGTCTCATCTTGCCCGACTGGCAAGCTCCGCATCTTCACACTACGATTCGCCGTCAGAATTTCAATCTCACATTGTCAGCCCTCAGAGCTACCTGCAGGAAACCCGTCCTCTTAGGATCATCCCAGCTTTGTCTGAAAACGAACCCCAAATTTGGATGCTTTAAAATCCTTAAAACGTTATCCCTGTCTTCAATCGCCACATATCAGGGCGAAAACTGTAAAAACAGTTGAGTAATTACAAAGCCATATATATGTATATATATATATATATGTATATACATATACATATATGTATGGGGGGATTCCTGAAATAGGGGTACCCCTAAATCATCCATTTTAATCGGGTTTTCCATAATCAACCATTTTGGGGTACCCCCATTTTAGGAAACCACCATGTGGTTAAAACAATTTTTCTACTACCCATGACTGGGAATGGTAAACATACCAGACTGTTAATATATATATATATAATATATATATATATATATATCTGGTTGGTGGTTTTAACCATCTTGGAAAATATTAGTCAATGGGGATCATTATTCCCAATAATTCCCAATATATGGAAAAATAAAAGCCATGTTCCAAACCACCAACCAGATATATATCCCCACATTCTATATATACATATATATTAACAGTTAATATATATATATATATCCCCATATATATCCTCATAATAATATATATATATACATCATATTATAATTAACAGTCATATCCTCATAATGTCCAATTATGTCCTTCCTTCGTGAAAAAGCTGTGTGAAAAATCCACTGGGGCCGAAGGCTCGGTCGCCGTCGGACAGCAAGACGATGACGCGGCCCTATGGCGATTTCATGGATTAATGGGGAATTGAATGGGATTTATATACCCTCTATGGGAAACTATGGAAAATCACCATTTAAACTAACATAACTATGGAAAATCCCCATTTAATGGCCCTGTAAACTAACATAACTATGGAAAGATCCACCATTTTTCATGGGTAAATCCACTATTTCAATGGCCATGTTCAATAGCTATGTAACAAATTACCAGAGGGTAATGATCATGGGGACCCTATGGGGACCTTGTGGGGATCTTAGAGTAATGGGCGAAATGGGAGAACCTGAGAAAGGCGAAATGGGAATTTCTCATCCGCAAAAAAAAACAGCGGGCTTGGGAATAATCCCATCCCCCGTTCAGATTCAACGCCCCCGATTTATGTTCCCAGATATCTGTGAATCCCTTACTAAACCATGGTTTATTGGGGGGGTGTTATGTAGCATTAAGAGATATATTTATAATGTATATACATATATACTCTGGACATGGGATGATATGGGCGTGTGTGAAAATGCTGTTTCAACCAAGAATAAATGGAGGTACATATTGGGTATATTATAAACTGAAATGTCATATGGTTGTGTCTGAAAATGGGGATTCTTCAAATTTGATATATGGCAAATCTGATGGAAAGTCATGACAAATCATTAAAAAATTGGGGCAAATGCCTATTTTTCAGAAGCTGCTCTTCAAATCATTGGCACAAAGCTGGATTGCTGCATCCTCAAAATTGCCAAAATGTGCTCCTTGTGATACCTTTTGATATCGCCAGGTTGTTGCGAGTCTGGTTCCAAACATCAAAGTCAATTGGGGTCATCATCCTAGGCACCCTTTAAAAAAAAAAAAACTGCTTGGCTTGAAATCACCAAGCAGTAGTAGAACCCCTAACCTGTAGTAGTGGGGTAGACCAACCGGCTACGTCATGTCAAGAAAAACATGTGTCAGACACAATTTACACTTGGCTGATCTTATATCCGCTGCAAATAGATCGAGAAGTAATCCTATCCCCCTCATATTACACCCATTTATAGTCCCAAATTTAGTGTTGTAATAATAACAATATTCACAATAGCAACAATGATAACAATATATATATATAATTAACTGTGAAACTAAAAAGAATGCCAAAAATAACAGTAATCTTACATGTAAATCCATGTGTATAAATCCATGTAATTACCCTTTTAAACCATGGTTTCTGTTTGGGGTGTTTACGGGCTGAACATCACCAGTCGTTTTAGCACAGCTCCTGTCGCAGCAGTCTTTGGCTGGAAATCGAAGTGGCGGGCGAGATGTCATTTTCCCGGTTGCCGGTTGCCGGAAGGTTTTAACAATCTCTGTATTACACTATTTCACTTGGCCATTGATCTTTGATCTACATCTATACACATCATTCTACATCTACATTCTACAATGACAAGATCTTCAGACCAAAATGATCGAACATGTCTCAATGCCCGACACTACCTCTTAGATCTCTCAAACATTAGCCATTCGGCTTGAAGCCTCAACCTCGCACACATGCGCATGGTTGGGTCTCAGCCGCTGAAAAACCTACCAGTACATCGCAGGAAGTCTGATGCGCAGTTGTCGGATTCCCCGCTGGTGGATGATCAAAACCAGCTAGTGTAAGCCCAGTTGGTATCCAGAACTTGCTGATCAAATGCAATAATTCCAATAATAAACCATCCCAAATTGTGGTTTATTGGCTTACCACATACCACCAGAAAAACCACATCATAAACCGTTACCAAATGATCTTCGCTTTCAAATGACAAAGGATTCTCCAAGACTAGACCCATTGTATGCTGTCATGCATCTTGCTTGTAGGGAAGGCTGTTGTGATGGTTCTGCCAGATAGTTCTTTATCCAAGGACCCCTTTGTTGACTATTCTAAGCACAGGACAGATATGGCTACAAAGGTATTGTAAAATCACTGCTCATGCATCATACTGTGGTTCTTCCTCCGCCTCTTTCCGTACGTATCATCAAACACTTTGAGGTGACAATGATGATAGTAATTAAGGATGTCCAATGGCCAGAGATGGCACTCTCAAACTGCATCTTATGGAGTAGGAAAACTTTCACTTATTAGCAAACACTGAAAGTCAAACTGGATTCCTCGTTCATGGATTGTGATAATCCCCAATTCATCTTGGTGAGTATAATCCCAACCTATCATCAACAAATTGGGAATCCTCATTCGACAGCTCAGCTCATCATTTCCTCCTGACAGTTCCTCAAGCTACACTGCCTCGGATGATGGAGGTTCCGGAAGCTCCCCGTCATTGATGTGGGAACCCCACGGTTTGCACCCAAGAATACCCTCTGGTAAACGAACATAACTATGAAAAATATTGAAAAATAACCATCTTCAATGGGTACATCAACTATAAATGGGCCATTTTCAATAGCTATGTTAAATTACCAGAGGGTATACCAAAGAAAAATGTGATCATCAATTCGAAACGGATCTAAATGGTTCTGAGTTAAAGAAAAAGAATCATCCAATCTCATGTTTGCCATCCCCAAGTCATCACCATTTTTATGGGTGGTATAAATCATCCCCAGTCATGGGAGTTGTGTAGTGGGTTTCCCATCCCAATCAACCGACACCTCCCAGGAAGCTGAAGATGAAGCAGTTTGGCCTCACTTCACCCGGGTGGATCGCACAAAAACCAGGGGGGTCACCCATAATTACGTCCATCAATATATGTATGTATGTATGTATGTATGTATATATATATATATATATATATGCATATATATATATATGCATATAGTCTTATATTCTGAATATATACATATATACATATAATCTTATATTATGAATATATATATATATTGTGGTGATATATATTATATTACATTACATTATATTATGTTAATATTATATTATATTATATATATTATATTATATATTATATAATGAATTGTACAATATATATATAATATATATAATATGATATATATATATATATTATATTATATATATGATATATTATATATAATATAATGTATATATATATGATGTATAATAATATAATATATAATATATATATATAGAGAGAAAGAGAATATATATAATATATAATATATGCAATATATATAATATATAATATATATAATATATAATATATAATATATAATATATATAATATATAATATAGAATATATAATATATATAATATATAATATATAATATATAATATATAATATATAATATATAATATATAATATATAATATATAATATATAGTATATATAATAAATTAAATATAATATATAGTATACAAAATATCATATATAATATATAATATATAATAAATAATATATAATATATAATATATAATATAATATATAAAATATATAGTATACACTATATAATATATAATATATAATATATAGTATATAATATATAATATATAATATATAATATATAAAATATAATATATAGTATATATAATAAATTAAATATAATATATAGTATACAAAATATCATATATAATATATAATAAATAATATATAATATATAATATAATATATAAAATATATAGTATACACTATATAATATATAATATATAATAGAATCTAATCTAATATTACATTATATTATATTATATATTATATATAATATTATATATTATATATATAATATCACATGTTATATATTATATTTTATATATTATATGTGATAATATATTATATGTATATATGATCAATGAACATAGATCTATGACCATCAATATGTATGATACTTGATAGTTGATATATAACATTATAATACATTATATAACTAATCATTGATAATCCCCAATTCTGCTGCGTGGTATGCGCATCAATGATGTGGGTTGACAAAAACGGGCTACCAAAATACAATAATCCCAAATAAATATCCTCATTGGAGTGATGGGTAGTGTAACCTCCGAACTGATCAACCAACCCCGAACTGATCGTCAACCAACTGATTTTTTTGAAGTGCTTAAATATGGTGTTTCACCAACAAACATGGGAATTCTAATTGACTTCAGAGGTAGATGGAAATGGGTGGGATGCTCTACGGATATCTAAAGAGTATTGGTGCCAAAACCTGGTACCCTTCTTTTTGACACTAAAAACGGTACAGCTTGATGTGTAGGGGTCCCCCAAAAGATAGCAACTTGTTTTCAGGATGGTCAGGTTCCCCCCCAAAAAAAAAACAGGCTTCAAACTTTTATCTAGATTGGCTATGGTCAAAACATGGCTAATATGGGTTATGGTCCTCCCATATTGGGAATCCATGGCTGTTGATGGGTGGATGATCATCATCCCCTGGGTCCATGGCTGTAGTCGTACTCTGAGGTCGCTGCCGGGCTGTGCGTCACAGCAAACAACCGGCGCCCAGCGCATGCCAAACCGCTCCAGGTATTGTTTTCCTGGAGACTATGACCATGATGATCAGCGGTTGGGAAGGCGGAAAAATACACACTATGGAGAATGAATGACCCTAAGAAGTCAAGTTTGAGGCTCAAAAACAGTACTTTTTGATCATCTCCCCATGCACTTTCATGCTATCACCACTCATGTGATCTCACGTGAACATGTTGTATGATCACAGGATAAAAGGACTCGCAGAATGCTGATTAGCCCATGATTGACGTTCTGCAGCGAAAAGTCGCAAGAATGATCCCTAGAGGGCCATGATTGCTTAGCCACATGAAGCGGACACAGAACTGGAAACATCTGGAGACATAGGGAGTGACAATGGGCACAGGTGACAAACTTTGCTTGGTGGCTTGGTGCTACTGAAGCCCGATGCCCGATGCCCCCTAGTTGCCGGCCCACTTCATGACACTTGCCCCTGGCACCTCTTGAGGAAGCCTCCAGAGCAGTCAATTGAGTCCGACTCAGGACTTCACAGACTCAAAAAGTGATTCCTCACCGGTTTGGTGATGGCGCTTTGATGGTCCTATGGTAGCTGTACTTGTCACCTCTCTTCCATCAGATTAACATAGATTCACCATTCTCGATTCTCAGTGTATCCACACTGGAATCCACACATATCCTGTGGATGGGCCAGCGAAATCCTGCACCAGTTAATGGTAAACATCCCATTCTTGATAGGCTTTCAACCATCCTTTTGGTGGTGCAGGATTTCTTCGCCTGAAGCTGCGAAGCAAGGATCCTCGGGTTGGCGCGTGGGGGGTTGGGCACCCCAAGCCACCCGACATAGGGGAGATCAACCAAGAAATTTTCAGAGGTTGACCATTTTGGTATATTATATGTATTATATATATATTACCATCTGGTTATTTAACATAGCCATGGAAAGATCCACCATTCTTAATAGGCAAACCCAGGTAAACCATCTATTTCTATGGGCCATTTTCCATGACTATGTTAAATAACCAGAGGGTATACAGATCATTATATAATACCCATATCAATAGGCACAAAGCCTACTCAGTTGGAGTAATGTTGGAGTAATGGATATGTGTACTGGATATCACTGGAGTCTAATGGATCATAACTTACACCTTTGCAATCCACCAATCCATCTTCATCTTGTTCTATCAATTGGTTCACCATATATCACAGTACATCCCCATAGAGCGCGCTTCCGGCATCAAACTGATTGTTGTTGATTCAATCTTATACTGGTTGGTGGTTTCAACCCCTCTGAAAAATATGAGTTCGTCAGTTGGGGTTACTATTCCCAATATATGGAAAAATATAATTTCATGTTCCAAACCACCAACCAGTATAATAACAACGGGTTGCTGATCCCCCATTGAATCCCCAATCCACAGATGCCTTGGAACCACCTTGGAAGCCTCACCTGGTCGGTCGCCCAAGTCGAAGACGCGCAGCTCCTGCTGTAACAAGACGTAGAGGAGATCTTCGTCCTGGGAGTGCGAGAAAAATCTCGCGGCCTGGCAGTGATAACTGTATAATTGGTAACTAGCTTTTTGGGAATTACCTTTGTAATTCCATGTAATTCCCATCATTTCTAGTGACATCCTCAGCTGACGATGTTACAATTTGCCCTGAAAGGAGGATTGCGCAGTGTGGGGATCATCTTCTTCTTCTTGTTATTCTTCTTCTTCTTCTTCGTCTTCTTCTTCTTCTTCATCATCATCATCATCTTCATCATCTTCATCCACATCCATCATCATCACCATCACCATCACCATCCACATCCATCATCATCACCATCACCATCCACATCCATCATCATCACCATCACCATCGTCATCATCGTCAGTATCGTCATTATCGTCATCATTGTCACCATCATCATCATCATCACCACCGCATCGATATGAGCCTTCCTGATGTAATAGATGATCTTGTCTTCAAAGCCTCAGTCAGGGTGACAAGTGGCGGATAACAGCGATCGCTCTATCACTCAGATATCATCATTTCCACCGCAAGCTTGCAAAGCTTTTTTTTCACCGCTCTGCCGCTGGTGAATGTGCAGTTTGTGTGAGAATGCTGACCTTTGCACTTGTCAGGTGGGAAACTGAGATTTTGGACACTGGCATAAAGACTTCAAGAATTTGCAATGGAGATGAGATTTCATGAGATTTCCAGATGCGAAATGGAGATCTCAAATTCAGGTTGAAAAAGGTCATGATTCTAGAGACTGTTCCAACTTTGGAAATGATGCTTTCACATGATGGCATACTGACCTGAGCCGGTTAAAGCATGGCCTTCCAGTTCCAAAATCATAACCTGACAAAACACAACACCACAGAGCAACTGCCACCTGCAGTTTTCAGCAGGTCCAGGAAGATTCGACAGCTGCTTCATCAACAGTCAATACATTCAATATCTATAAGCATCCGAATGGGCTTCTAGCCAATCTTCTGCAGCGATGGATCAAAAACCTTTGATACGTCATCGTTCCCTTCATCAAGAAGGTTGTGTTTCCTAGCCACGTTTTGGAAAATTTCGAAGATATCGGGTACCCAAGCCGTATTCCACTCGGGAAAGCATTGCCACATCAAATCTGCAAAGCTTTGGCAGTTCCATTTCAAGGCGTGATAAGGTTTACCTTTCACCAATTCAAGCACACGAATCAAGCGCTTTGGATGACCGTGTTCTGGACGAATGCGTGCCTTCTTAAATTTGCCATGGCCTTCACCCCAGGGCGTTTGATTGCGAATGATTGGAAAGTCCTTAGTTGTTGCATGCTCCAAGCCATCACTGCCGAAGTCCAGTTTGAGGTATTGTGGCTGCCCTCCCTCCGAAGCATGCTTCATGACAACTCCCTCATGATGGGCAACTCCTATGTAGTTCGGCACATCGCTCTCCTCCCCACCACTTGCTGACGTCAAGGAAGTCTTGTACAGGTAAATGTGCGTAAAAAGCCGGTTGCCTTCTTGCCAGGTCTCTAACATTGCGGTCAAGTCGGGATCGGATGCATCCGGCTTGGAAACCATCATTGGAGCCATGTTTGCTAGTAAAGTATCTAAGACTAAGCCTTTCGTCACGTCATCATGCTTCACAGGATCACCCCGCATAACCTTCAAAAACAAGTTCAGGAAACCTGGCAAAGATGTCTGGCCGATAGATGCCACCATCACGCAAACACAGGCTGCATGTCCGCATCGCCTGACAAATGTCCGTCTTGGCGGCATGGTAGGTGCGTAAGAGGCCCACAAAGCTTGCCCCAAGCTTTGGCTATGCTACTTAGAACCCTTGCAAACAACACTGAGCCAAACTAGCGCATGGCAAAAACAGTTCAGTCTGACTGGGTGACTCATTCTCTCCATAGTCCGGCCAAACTCATGTCACATCTGCATCTCTTCCAATAGCTGGGCGTCCACGCAAAAAAAATGCGAAGAGGAAGTTGAAGAAGTCGCAGCACAGAAAACCCAGGTTGGAATGATGATGGGTGCATGATCAGAATAGAATAGACAACAATGATGACAAGAACAGTTGGATACGATGGGAGAAGGAATGAAACAAAAACAAATTTGGTGATCGCGAGCTTTCGATAAATGTTTCGAGCAAAAAGAGGTAGAAACTGAAAACGTGCAATGACCTAGTATTCGACGCAATCGCCCTTCATTCATGAACTGTTTGATGAAGGTGTTTTTTTCCACCAGCATATATAAAATGGTGACTGTCCCACCAGAAATAAGGTTTGACCAGCTGAAAATGGGTCTCTCAACCAGCAAAAGCATGCCATTTTCCTAGCAGACCTGATGATCATCTCTGATCTCTTCACCGAGCCACTCTCCTGAAGTTTGATAAGAACCTTTGGCCTTCAAAGAGGAAATAATCGCGTTTATTGGCATGAAAAGAATATCAAACCACCAGCCGGATCTCCACGAAGGTTGCCCAGACTTATATAATTCAAGTCTTTTTACACGAAACTCCCATCAGTTGCGATTGTAAAATCATGGAGTTCCCACAGATCTTCCTTCAAATCGAGCCGTGATAATTTTGATCCAGGTGAATTGCGCACGGCTCCTGATCGACCGATAAACCAAAGACAGCCTGGCGACAGGTAAGACAGCACAGCATCTGGTGACGGAAAGGAGTGGGAAAGAGGTGAAAGGCATAGAAGCATAGAAGTGTGAAGCCTTGCTGTAGATCCAATGTGACAATCACAATGCCATAACTACCATTTCGGGATGTTTTTTACATCCCATGTGGTAATATTGGGAATGGTTTACTATTGGGTTCATCACATTATATAGTATACTGTCAATGCACAAACAAAAAGAAGCAGACGCCTCCCAACATAAGTTGAACAACAAGGTGTCGGGTTTCATGCATGGACCCCGCCAACTAGGTCTCTGCCAGTCTCTGCCAGTACTAGTGACCTTTTGGAGACAAAACCCGTTTCGCCTCCTGCATGGGCAACCGGAAGTCAATACCTCTCCGGTGCTCCGTCCATTCCAGCTAGGACAGATATTGGAAAATCCCAACCAAAATTTGTCAATTCCCATGATTTAACATGCAAAATTCATCCAGAGATTGGTTGTTGTGCCATTTGTTGTTGCCAGATTTGACAGCCAGGGTGGCTTGGAAGCATCGATACCGAGGATCGCACCCAGGGAGTGGTTTGGATCTGCCATCCTGTCCCAAAGTCGGGTTACCCGTCGACATCACCGTGGCTTTTTCGTAGTTCACGTGATGTGTCTATCCAAAGAGCATCAGTAGATATTAGATATATAGATAGATAGATAGATAGATAGATAGATAGATAGATAGATAGATAGATAGATAGATTAGATTAGATAGATAGATAGATAGATAGATAGATAGATTTTTCGAGACTACATGCAGTCAGTTTTTGCCATACTTAATGATTATACTGTATACTACTGATTATAGCACCATACCATGGTTAAAATCACCATGTTGAATGGGTAAATCAACTATGTCTATGACCAGAATTTCTATGTCGCGAAAAATCTCCTCGATGCCACGATGCCACCCCGAGGCGGCCTCAGGGCTCAAAAATTTCTGAGCTATTTAACATGGATGTGATATGTGCATATATATATATATATAGTATATAGATAAATAATACCCTCTGGTAAAATACCCTCTGGTAAATTATAATCTAATAACATCATATAATCTTACATATGATCTAGCATGTGTAAACTAATAAATACTATATAATCTAATGTTACGTCTATTAAATCATATATGTGTTTTTATACATGGGCGGCGGAGAAAATTATCCTTACTACTCGCCTCAAGGACATGGCCAAAGTGGATGGTCCCCCAGGATCATATGGTACTAAATTGAGCACATTCAGTGACCTTGGGGTTCCGGGTGCCATTGGGTGTCTTATATATGGTTAGCGACTATCATATCCGGAACCACTTAAATTGGATGGTTGAAAACTAACAAAAATGACCGACAGTGGTGGAGCACCAGTGGGTTTAAGATCCATTAACTTCTGACCCATATACCCACTTTGAGATCAAACACATTTGTTTGAAGTCACCTCATTTTTTCAAATCTAAAATCATCCAAATACATTAATGTTGTGAGGGAATTGAACAGTGTCCACAGGACAATGGTATATATATATGTGTGTATACACATCTATATATATATACATACATATATATATATACATATATATACATACATATATATATATATATATACATATATATACATACATCTATATATATATATATATACATCTATATATATACATCTATATATATACATCTATATATATATCTATATATATATATATCTTAGATATATATATATACATCTATATATATACACATATATTTCCATCATAGTCCATATACAGATCCCATTGCGAAAGAATGTCTTCGGATCTGAGGCTGCAGCGCCAGAAACAGCAAGTTCTGCTGCGGCCAAAACGCCAGGCCTTGTGGCACCTGACAGCCAGACGGGTCAAGTCATGGGCCTCCGTTGATTCGTTGATGGTAAAGCAATAGGATCCATCCCCAAATTGATCATTTCACTTGGGGATTTCAAGCATCAGCCATCAGCTTAGTTAAATCTATATATATACTGTATATGGTTGGTTTATGACATTGCTTTACTCACATATCGGTTGAGACTATGTTCAAAAACATCTCTGCGGCTCAGGTCTTATGGTCTCTGTGAGCACCTCCGTTCCCTCACCAACGACTGCACTGGGCAGACCTTGGCGGCTATTCTCTGTGTCGTTTTTTTTAGATGCCGGGAAGGGAAAATCAAGCAGACATCAAGTCCGAAGACATCAAAAGCTCAATTTTCTGCAGTTTTCATCTTTGCATGGGACAAAATTGCAGCCTTGTACCAGTTCGGTAAACCATAGCTGGCGATAATCCCAATATGACAATGGGAACTCCTTCAACTGGCATGTGAAAATAGCTGTGGAAGCCACGGCCCATTCAGTTCGATGATTTACCTATTTGGAATTGGTGATGTTCCATAGCTATGTTTACCACAGGGTCAATGCAGGTTTTTTCATGGATTTTCACGGGTTTTTCAGTATAGATTCCAGATGTTCATGTTTTCTTCGATACAAATGCAGGACGTTCGTGTCTTCGTTCCATTGCCATGTCATCTAATGTGGTAAACCCTGGCTGCCATTTTCACAACTCCCATGACTGGGGGTGGTTTGAATCCAACCCATCAAAATGGTGATGACTTGGGGATGGTTGGCATTGCGCATTGGGTTCACCACAATACATTTTTGCCCATTGGTTTCCACTTGGTTGAAAATGGTTTCCCTACTATGGTTTATCATAGTCCCCAATAAATGAGGTAGTATAGTTTACCCAAATGATCGGAGTTTGCCCAGGAATATTACCACATTACCCAATAATATTGCTAGAATACCACATGATCATTAGTTAGACCACTACCATTATTTGACCATTATACATGTTAGAATAATATGGTTATTAGACCACTAATACTACCAGGTTATAATAACATTATATTATTAGACCACTACCATTATTGTTGTTAGAATACAACCATTATTAGTTCTACTACCATTGAACTACCCTCCTTTCACCTTTCGCATTCGGTCTACGGCCTGGTCGGCCTCGTCCGAGTCCCCCGGAGGCCCCGACCGAGGCCCCTGAGATCGGCCTGGGCCAAATTCTCCAGATTTTATCTTAAAAAACATTGGATGATGGGTATTACTAATGATAATTTAATCTGGATATAAAAGTATCTTTGTTTTAAAAAAAAAGTACTATAATGAAAATTATGACGATTACTCATTAATACTATTAATAATGATAATGTTAATGGTAATAATGATAATGACAATGCTAGTAATGACGATAATTATTCTTACCACTACCATGTTTATTAACAATTATACCGTAATAATAATAGTTGTAATACTTATAATAGGAATGATAATGGATCAGTGCGTAAGAATAAACACAATTAAAAAATAATAATATTGATAATATAGTACTAACTGTAGTAATAGTGGTAACAGTAGTGATTAATATATTGTAATCCAGAAATCAATATATATATATACGTTGTAACAATGATAGCAGTAATAGTATTAGTGATAATGATGATACTACTAATAGTAATAATAACAATAACACTGACAATAACAACAACAATATCAGTTATGAATAACACTGATTATATAACACTATATAACACTATAAAACACTATATAACACTATATAACACTATATAACACTATATAACACTATATAACACTATATAACACTATTTAACACTATATAACACTATACAACACTATATAACACTATATAACACTATATAACACTATATAACACTATATAACACTATATAACACAATATAACACTATATAACACTATATAACACTATATAACACTATATAACACTATATAACACTATATAACACTATATAACACTATATAACACTATATAACACTATATAACACTATATAACACTATATAACACTATAATATAACACTGTATAACACTATATAACACTATATGATACTATAATATAACACTATATAACACTATATAAAACTATATAGCACTATATAACACTATATAACACTATATAACACTATATAACACTATATATATAACACTATATAGCACTATATAACACTATATAACACTATATAATACTATATAAAACTATATAAAACTATATAGCACTATATAACACTATATAATATTATGTAATATAACAATCACAATAACATATAAGAATGATACGGAATTCGGATCAACCATCGAAATCCACATTGAGCAAGATTGATCATTGATGACTATTGAACATTTACTATCATTATTCAGGATAGCCATTGCCGATACGGACAGTCATGATTTGGTTCTTGATGATTTCTGTATGTATTTCTGTATGTATGTATGTATGTCTGTCTGTCTGTCTGTCTGTAATGTATGTATGTATGTATGTATGTATGTATGTATGTATGTATGTATGTATGGTATGTAATGTAATGTAATGTAATGTTATGTTATGTTATGTATGTATGTATGTATATGGTGTATATATATACACACATATCATATCATCATCTATTCTGAATCTGATCGGTATTCATAATTATTGATGGTTATTCTGATGAATGTTGATCGTTTTAATCATTGATGATTATTCTGATTCTCCAAGATAGTATCAGTGTGAATCCAGATCATAGATCAATCATGATCAAACATTAAATCAACAGTGACTGATCCCGAGTCATTCTGTGTAGCTATCCTCCCAAACCATGCACCTAGCAGCCTAGCCCCAGCCAGGGTATCCAGCGGGCCGACCTCGTCAGTTCCAAAGCTCAGGTAGTAGAGCTCTCTCTGCCCAGCCAGCAAGATGGACGAGTTCTCAGCGCTGGGGAAACCACGAAAAAGTGCGGCTGATTGCGATGGAAAATTGACACGGAGCAAATTTCACGAACAGAAGAACCAACCAAACCCAACCAATGTGACGTTTGAAATCATGCTTTGCGGGTCCGCAACATGTTCTCAACTCCCAAAAAGACTCAAGACGTCCCTGGGTCCTTCAACTCATCATTGAGCTAATTAAGTTGAAAGTCCGTGATACTTTGGACCACTACTTCCCAAGACAATGGAGAAAAAACAGAAACCTTCTAGAATGATTGCTTCGTCCGTATTGCTCCACTCCCCAAGGTTTGTAATGTATGTGTATGTATGTGTATATATATATATACATACAATACATTACATTACATTACATGACATTACATTACATTATATAATTATGTATATATATATATATACATGTACATATTTATATACCGAATATACAGATAGAGGTGCGAATGAAAGTATAGAGAGATCCTCCCAGAGAGCCATGCAGTGGACATAGAGCATACCAAGGCACCATCACGGTGGCATCTCCCAGTTCGTAGCCTCTGAGGCGACGCCTTGCTTTTCATTGTCCGTTCCGGCTGGTTTCCGGCTGCTTTGAGTTCCAGAGGGCTAAAAATGTTGCAGGGTTTACCTCCCATGCTTGGCGCTAAACCTAGGGGTTCCCTGCAAAAAATCCTTCAGTCCAGCAATGTGAAGAACATCAATATCGAGGAGTTGGTTTTGGTTCTGAAAAAATCAGCCAACCGGGCAAGGACATCGTCTTGGGCCCAACAGTCCAGTGCTGGTTCGATGATCTGGCAATTGTAAGTCAGGGTGAAACGGTGAAACTCATCTGATTTTCGGGGATAGAAAAATTAATCGGGGTTATATAGGATTATAATTGAGGTGTCATCAAATTTCATCAAATGTCCAGTACGTTCCACAAAATCTCACGTAACATCGGTGTCATCATGCTGTTGGCTCGCATGGCATTTCTAGCCAAGTGACTCTTCAGCCAACTGCGCCACGCCATCCTGCAACCTCAGGGCTTTTTTTAACACTGCAAAACTCAGCGTTGAACTTTGGAGATCGGAGCCAGCACTTTTTTCTCCCTCCCAGCATAAAGATCTCTTTCAGATCATCATCCGCACAGATCTGCTCCTTAACACCTGGAGCTTCTTGCAGCTGAAAGGGAGAGACCTCTGTGGCCGACCGGGAGGGCCCAATGGGCGCGAAATGGTAGGGTTTCTCCAGGCCGTCATAGACCTTGCTGGGGTCCACCACTTGCACCTCACGCTGTGACGGCATCCCCATGGTAATGCCGGGTCCCTGGTATACATGTCTTGTATATTCTAAAGATTGTGTTATACATATGATTCATATGAATGTTATGATATACACTATATATATGTATTGTACTACTGTTATGTGTGTATATATATATATTATATTATAATTGTAATTATATTTATATATATATCATTGTATATCACATGTGTTTATCCCCACACTGCTGCTCAAATCATCCCCCCCGCACTCGCTGCACCTGCGGCCGCCACCACTCCGAACCGCCGCCGCCGCCGAGCTCCTCCACGGTCTCCGGCCCGCCGCCGGCAAAGGCGTTGAGGTCCATGGGCCTTGGAGCAGATGGAGCCTATGGGATCCCAGAAAAATGGAGGTTTTAATCGCTTCACCAACACAAAAAACTGACAGAGAACCAAAAAAAAACATCATTTTTTTCGGGCATAGTATGGTGAGTGATTGATTTTCATGCGGAGATAACCAACAGAAAAGCAACAAAACTGGGCCCGTACAGGCTGGTGAAGGGGTATATGGTGGACTTTGTCGGGGCAAACCTTGGTTGGGTAGTTGACTCTTATGGTCATCCAACCTGAGGCAAACAAGGTATGTGCTTATTAAATGGGATGAAGCAGAGCATAAGAATTGCATGGCAACCTTTAAATGTGAAAGCACACCTCTTCGCACTACACAAACCATCCCCCCTGAGAAGGTTCGAAAAAGCATACCATGGATGAGATCTGCTGAAAGAGCGGCTGGATGCTGTCCACATCCACATAGTTCTCGTAGCAGAGCCGCGCCTCGCACGGGGAAAGGCCGATCTTCAGCGCTTTCTTCATGGGCACGACCTCGCAGGCTTGCCACTGGGAACCATGATGTCACCATGGCCGATGATCTAAATTCGGGGGAAGTTCCTCCATCGATTTCAAGAGTGGGAATGATCAGGACAATTTTGTGGATATAATTTGTAAATATATATATATGTATATATATGTATATATATATACATATATATATATATGTACACACATACATACATACATACATACATACATACATACATACATACATACATACATACATACATTGCTGGCCGAGAGGTGGGTGTGGAGGGTAGCTCTTGAGGATAAAATGTCACAAACATGGGGCTTTCACGTTTCCACTTGCACAAAAAACGCAAGCTAATCATTGCTGGCCGTTTCCACTTCCCAGCCCAGAATGAGACAGCACCTTTGTCCACTCACAGGCGTTGCAAATCATCAACGAACATTCCAAAGCGATCGCTATTCACAATCACTTCCACGCATCCAAAGAACTGACCCATACCCCCAATTGCAAAGGGCACTGGCCTAGGCCCATGGAAAAATAAGTAATCGTTCCAGAGCCCATTGGAGTGGCTGTTCGGTATATCGCTGAAATTTTGCAGGAAGTCTTGCTGCTGTCATCAAGAGTCTACCAGGCTTGCGGTATCGAGCAACTGAAGATGGCGCTGCCCATATACCGCGAGCTTGAATAGACTCAAATGTTCGATACTCATTGATGAGGTCATATGATGGTCCAGAATGCCGAATGACATGAGGCGTAAATAGCCCACCTTTCAGACCTTCCAGTTTTGAGAAATCACGAAACAGCTTTTCATACTGTGAAAGAGAGATATTGAAAATTGGAGAGTCAGATTGTCCAACACGCTTTCCAATGCATCTCAGCAGCTTGTTGGCCCACTGTCGGTGCGAGCTGTCACACAGAATCACATCATCTGTTGCGCCAGTTTTGGTCTGTTCCTCAAACTCAGAGTTTCCTAAAAGAATGCCCCAAGGAGAGTTGAACGCATGCACTGATGGGATAATATCCCGACCCCTGAAGTTCAGAATTTCAGATGGACGTGTGTACAGATCATACTGCAATAAAACTGCTGCTGCTGCATCGGTTGCTTTGTTGTGAATACAAAATGCTGCAAAGTGAAAAATCACCTGAGGCACCATTCCAACCCTGGACCCACCAGCACGGCTACCACGCCATGCCGCAAGAGCCGCACGACTAAGCGGAAACATGTCACGCTCCGCTCTGTCAGGAATAGTTCGCAACACTATGTAACCAAACAATGTGTATGAAGCAACGGTTAAGGGGCAGCCATCCTCAAACACTTGATCAAAGTATCTGGCCATAGCTTTGTCAGCCTGTCTGTCTGACTTGACTTGAAGCCTCTTGCTCTGCGCCCATTGCAAAAAATCATCCACACTGTCAGCATACCTCACAATGGTGTCAGGCCTGACTCGTTTGACTCGCAAGGCTCGCTCAGCGGGGCATCTCTCCAAAATAATTCGGTACTTGTCAGATTTGCTGATAGAGCACCGGCTTGGCTTTTTGGAGGTACCGCCACGCTTGCTTCGGTTCTCTTCCAAGGGCAATGAAGTCGAAAAACTGCTCGAGCCCCCCTTGGTGTTCAAGGAGCTCAAGGTCGACTTCTTTCTGGCAATGATCCCTGTTCGAGACAGGGCACTTTTTGCCGGAATTGTTGCCTTTGCTACGTTTCGGCGTATAACACCTGATCGAAGCTGACCAATGGTCTTGGACGAGTTGGTCAGTTTCCCCATGGCTCACGCAAATATTGGCATCATGAAGAATTGCTGCATACTGTTCACACAACTGTTGTGGGTATGCTCCTGCCAACGATGTCCTATTCGTGAACACATGCTTACCACCAGGGAACTCAACCTTAGTAACACCTTTGAGCCAGACACTATGCCGTCGATGTCCACAATGACGCTCCAACTTTTGCAACTTGCCAAGGGAAGAAAAAATGCTTGTCTCTTTTTTGTAAACTTCACCATAGCTGCACATGTCAAAATTGATCTCATAGCATGGACCCGACTGCATGGCTCTGACCAGCGGTTCAAACGTGAAAAGACGAGAAGACCTAGGATTTTCAATGGCCCAGTGAACACCTGCTCGATTGCACGCAAGAATAACTTCGCATGAAAACAACGCAAGCTCAACACCAACTGCCTCTCTTACCAAGTTCCTAATAGTATTCTTGACCCCGTGACGAGCCCTTGACCAGATAGTGCATGGTGTGCCCAAATGAACAAAACCAATCGTCCCACTTTTGATCCACCTCAAAATGAGTCTCTGAGTTTCTTTCCTACGAAGGTCGAATGCTGAATCCTTCGTGATCTCGACCGGTTCAAGCACTGCACCACCCAAGTCTCGAATGGCTCCTGAAAGCCTACCTGTACCTGCAAACAACTCCAGGAAAAAATTGCCCTTACCACGGGGTACAGCCCCCTTCGCCGCATCACCAAAAGTCACCAAGCTGAAAAGCTGCTGCGACTTTGCACAACTTATTCATCTTAAAGGAAGAGCTCCTCCCTTTGCTAAGCGCTGAAACTGTTGCCATGTTGTCAGAAACTGTCAGCTTTCGGTGGGACATCAAGTCTCGAACTCGACAGCTACGTCTCAATGAGGACAAAGCAACACGACACTCCTTGATGTTGATATGCTCATCAACATTCTTCCAGCGCCTCGCCCAAAGAAGGCGAAAATTGTTTGTGTCAGCAAAAAAATTGTCCAGAGGTTCAACCAGTGAGGGGATGTCAACATCAATGCGCTTAGAAGGAGCCGCCCGAAACTGCGAGCGGATTGCAGACGTTCCCAGCCATGACCCTTCTCTCATAGCATCCATAACCATATGCCCATAACCCGTGGAAAGACCCGCAGGCCGTACAGAACCAGGGCCTCCACCAGAATCGGCTGCAGTGAACATTCCAAACAGGATCTGCTCAAACTCCTCAGCATCTTTTCTGGCAGCTGCGCTCCGAAGGTTCTCAGGCATTGGAATGAAGCGCCATTTTTCCTGCGAGGCCATAGCCCGTCTAAGTCTATCCTGACCCGGTCGACAGCTCATCAATGCATATCCAGATGAAGAAGAGTCCCCTACCTCAACTGTCTGACATAATGGGGCACCTAAGTCCCGCCATGCCAACCACACCAGAGCACAAGCCAGTTTTAACTCACACCGCACTGAACTCCAAACTTGAATGCGCTTCTCACGGCTGACTTCAATGAACCTATAGATATGCTCCAGACACGCAAGAGCACATGGGTAAAGGGAGCAGAGCGAGGTAAAATGCCCCGCCCAAATCTGCAAGACCTTTCCCTTCAGCTTTTTACGTCTGAGCAAGGCCAGAGTTGCAAGGAAAAATTTCCAAACACGACGAGGCTTGTTGCTAACACGCTTGTGCACAAAGTCCAAGTTACAACCAACAGATTCCAGAGACTGAACTGGGGAGTCTTGTGACCATGTCAGTGGGATGCCGGCACGCTCAAAAGCTTCCCGGACCCAACTGGCCCGCAAACAAACATCCGACTTTTCCCTGCCAACTATGGTAATATTGTCAACATAAACCCCAAGCGACGTACGAAATTGATCAAGCTGTGGAGTCTCTTTTCGTTCCCTAAAAACACCATCCATCCACGGAGAATGCTGTCGGCAGATGTTCAAAACAGCTTCATTGCAGAGAAAAAGGGCCCACGACCAACCCATAGGAACCGCTTCCACACATGGGAACAACAACTCATGCGCATCCGTCTGCACATACTGCCTGGTCGCTGGATCATAAACTGAGGCGGCATCAACCCCCAAATCTGACCACATGTGAGCTTCCAGCGGGTGATTGAAGGCAAAGTAGTGGGTGAGTTCAGGGATAGAAAAGTTGTAAAAAGCATCATTGACGTCTGCCTCAATCCCCCACCCATTGCCTTCCTCAACTTCTGCCAAGTCCAGATCCGCATAGCATCTTGCAGACCCCAAGCGGGTTGTCGGCGGCGGTTGGTGGAGTTTATTGGTCCCTCTGCAATCCAAAACCATTCTGATAGCATCAGGTGTCTTCTTCTTCACAAAGAAAGCTCCAATGAATGACTTAGAAGAACGTCTAAGTTTAACCAAGCCCGACTTATGTAGTCGCAAAATGAAGTCCAGCCTCCTTGAACGGTCATACTTTAATGCAGGATCCCAGTAAGGTGAGAAACCAGAATCATCCGCATGATTAGGCAGCAACATCTGTGACTCATAATGTTCAACCAACTTTGCAGGCTCCACAGGCAAAAACTTGGAAATCCTCTTCGGCTGAACCTGAGATCGAAGCACTTTCAACTTCCCAGGATCATAGGACGCAAGATTGTTCGGCATTCCATCGTAGGAGAATTCGGCAGCCTGCAGCTCATGGAGGGCAGTCTCAGGAGTCATGTTCAGCGGCTTGTCACCATGAAGCTTCAGTGACTCCACAACTCTACCCATCACAAAATCCTGAACTGCAGTGGGCGGCCGTTCTGTGGCAAAATGTGGAAAATTGAATGAATTACTGGTATGCAAAGCAAGCTTGTTCAGAGAATCTCCAATCCATTGAGCTCGCTGCGGTTCAAAACACCCAGATTCAGCGGCCAGATCACGCAATGCCCCACTGTCCAAGGGAAAAGGATCCCCATGCCGCCGCCTCTGATGACCAACCTTCATTGGACACCTCCAGAAAAACTGAGCAAGGAGCGGGACCAAGGAGGTACTGGACCAGCTCCACAAAAGCCAAGTGGAACTAAGAGGCCGCAGCGGAGCCAACCGCCCCGCCGCCATCAGCCGTCTTTTTCTTCTTTTTCCACTTGTTCTTGCCACTGTCTTCGTCATCCTCATCGCCAAACTTCTTGCCACCTCTTCTTCCAAACTCCTCCTTGAAGAGCCGTGCCTGCTTCTGGATCTGCGACCTTTCCTTCAGCTTCTCAGTCACCCAGCTGGTGATGGCTGAGACGTAGGCTTGGCCTTGTGCAGCAATTGGAGTCTCACTGACAACATCCAGACCAGAGAAGTCTGGGGCTGCTGGGTTTCTCGCCACTGCCATTTCAAGCACAATCAAACGTCTCACAACGTTCTCCATGCATGTGAGGTTGCTCAGGTCGAGCTGGTCTTTGGAGAAGCCAAGTCGCAAGGTCTCAATCAATGACCGATGTTCATGAGCAATTGCAGAACTGTTGGAGATCCCCGATGAGCGAACCCACCCATTGTGATATGAGATCAAATCACCAGGACCCTCACGGATCGCAACCAGATACTCTCTCGTTGCACGCGGGCCGACAAAGCCCCAGTCATCGAACTTCTCTTCAGACATAAGTGCAAGTGCATCTTGAAGCGTCATATGTCGTTTGCCTTGAGGGTCCTTGTGTTCTCCCAGCAGCCTAGCATCCCCCAATGAATCCTTCTTGGACTCCTTGAATCTTTCGATCTCAGAAGTCGCCATCTCTCGCACATACTCGGTTTCATCATCCCACTGCACAACACCATGCTGACCCAGTGCCACAACGTCTCCGACGATTTCGACAGGAAGAGCCTGCCCAAACCGAGCTGAGGAGGGATCAGACACATACCATTGCTGGATGTCAACATTGACAACTTGAGCATCGCCAAGAATTGATCCCATGGTCTTCGCCATTCTTCTCTGGCGCTCCATCTCAGCCCTAGGCACTTCATCAAAGACATAGCACTCATCAGCTATGTCTGCAGGAAAAACACCATGTCGTGGCAAAATGCGGTGTCGACGAGCACTGAGGTCTGCAACTTCAAGTTCCAGATCAGGAGTTGAAAGAACCCATTGACTTCCAGAAACTCGATGCATCAATATTCTATGATGGTGAAAATAACCCCCAGCATCTTCCGGGAAATGGAGCAGGATTTGTGGTTCCGGTATATTGAGTGACCGGTCCATGTCTAAGCCCTTTCTTCTTTGATTCGAAGCCGGTCAGATGGTCGGCAAGGGCCAGCTTTCACAACTGGCGGGGCAACAACCTCTGGCACTGCAGGCAAAGCACGATGGATCTCGGGTTTCACCAGATGCTCACTGGTTTTGAACACACGTAAAGCAGCCACCCAACACACCACAGAAACAAAAATGACAAAAAGAAGGATGATGGCCCCTTGATTCGCTGTACGCAACCAGAAATTGGATTTCTCACACGCTTCAAGGACTTGATTGAATCCAGTCACAAGCTCACGAGCCCTAAACACCTCCACACGCAAGGATGAGATCTCTGCCTCAAGAGATGAATAGTGTGACCAGCCAGCCCAGGATCGAATGAGATGTGACCCTACAAGGAGTCCCCAATTCAGACCACCAGCATCCATAGGCGCCTGGAACCCTAGACTGTAGCTCTTGAGGATAAAATGTCACAAACATGGGGCTTTCACGTTTCCACTTGCACAAAAAACGCAAGCTAATCATACATACATACATACATACATACATACATACATACATACATACATACATACATACATACATACATACATACATACATACATACATACATACAACATACATACAACTACATACATACATACATACATACATACATACATACATACATACATACATACATACATACATACATACATACATACATACATACATACATACATACATACATACATTACATACATACATACATACATACATACATTACATACATTACATACATTACATACATTACATACATTAGATACATTACATACATACATACATACATTACATACATTACATTACATTACATTACATTACATTACATTACATTACATTACATTACATACATACTTACATACATTACCTACATTACATACATTACATACATTACATACATTACATACATTACATACATTACATACATTACATACATTACATACATTACATACATAACATACATAACATACATAACATACATAACATAC